GGGATAAGGTACCAGATACTAAAGTGAAATGGAAACACAACCAGGTATAGTATAGCAGAGTAGAGTAGAGTAGAGCACAGTAGAGTAGAGTAGAGTAGAGTAGAGTAGAGCACAGTAGAGTACAGTAGAGTAGAGTAGAGTAGAGCAGTGTAGAGCAGAGTAGAGTAGAGCAGAGCAGAGCAGAGTAGAGTAGAGTAGAGCAGAGCAGAGCAGAGTAGAGTAGAGCAAAGTAGAGTAGAGTAGAGTAGAGTAGAGCACAGTAGAGTAGAGTAGAGTAGAGTAGAGTAGAGTAGAGCACAGTAGAGTAGAGTAGAGTAGAGTAGAGCAGTGTAGAGCAGAGTAGAGCAGAGCACAGTAGAGTAGAGTAGAGTAGAGTACAGTAGAGTAGAGTAGAGTAGAGTAGAGCAGTGTAGAGCAGAGTAAGGCAGAGCAGAGCAGAGCAGAGCAGAGCAGAGTAGAGTAGAGTAGAGCACAGTAGAGTAGAGTAGAGCAGAGCAGAGTAGAATAGAGTAGAGCACAGTAGAGTAGAGTAGAGCAGTGTAGAGCAGAGCAGAGTAGAGTAGAGTAGCACAGTAGAGTAGAGTAGAGTAGAGCACAGTAGAGTAGAGCAGAGCAGAGCAGAGCAGAGCAGAGTAGAGCAGAGCAGAGCAGAGCAGAGTAGAGTAGAGCAGAGTAGAGAAGAGCAGAGCACAGTAGAGTAGAGTAGAGCACAGTAGAGTAGAGTAGAGTAGAGCACAGTAGAGTAGAGTAGAGCAGAGCAGAGTAGAGCAGAGCAGAGCAGAGCAGAGCAGAGCAGAGTAGAGTAGAGTAGAGTAGAGTAGAGTAGAGTAGAGTAGAGTAGAGCAGAGCAGAGCAGAGGAGAGGAGAGGAGAGGAGAGGAGAGTAGAGTAGATTAGAGCAGAGTAGAGCAGAGTAGAGCAGAGCAGAGCAGAGGAGAGCAGAGGAGAGGAGAGGAGAGTAGAGTAGATTAGAGCAGAGCAGAGCAGAGTAGAGTAGAGCAGAGTACCGGGTTCCTCTGCACCAGCTCCTGGTTGTTGGCCACTGCAGTGAGCCAGACGATGGTGATCACAGAGTTCAACACAAACGAGAAGAAAAGGTTTTTGTGAAGAGTGATCCTCTGACAACTGAGACTCCTGCAACGCAACAGAGGTTAATGTGTGTGTGTGTGTGTGTGTGTCTGTGTGAGTGTGTCTGTGTGTGTGTGTCTGTGTGAGTGTGTGTGTGTGTGTGTGTGTGTGTATCTGTGTGTCTCTGTGTGTGTGTGTGTGTGTGTCTGTGTGAGTGTGTGTGTGTGTCTGTGTGTGTATCTGTGTGTGTGTGTGTGTGTGCGTGTGTGTGTCTGTGGGTGTGTGTCTGTGGGTGTGTGTCTGTGTGAGTGTGTCTGTGTGAGTGTGTGTATCTGTGTGTCTCTGTGTGTGTGTGTCTGTGTGAGTGTGTGTGTGTGTCTGTCTGTGTCTCTGTGTGTGTGTGTGTCTCTGTGTGTCTGTGTGTGTGTAGCTGTGTGTCTGTGTGTGTGTGTTCTTACTTGAAGTGGAAGAAAATCCCCAGTGAAACAAACAGTGAAGAGAGCGACAGGCCGTGTCCGATCAGAGCCAAGTAGAACAGGTTCATCGCCGTCTGGGACAGAAGTGATGTCACATCATCTCACCACTATACTCTGCTTTAAATTAACATACTCTACAATACTATACTATACAATACTATACTATACTCTACAATACTATAAAATACTCTACAATACTATAAAATACTCTACATTACATTAGCATACTCTACTCTACTATACTTTACCATACTCTACTATACTATACTATACCATACAACACTATACAATACTCTTCTATACTCTACTATACTATACAATGCACTTCTATACTATACTCTAATATATTCGACAATACTCTACTGTACTCTACTATACTCTACAATACTCTACTATACTCTGCTATACTCTGCTATACTCTGCAATACTCTGCAATACTATACAATACTCTTCTATACTCTACAATACTCTACTCTACAATACTCTAATATACTCTACTCTACTATACTCTATAATACTATACAATACTCTTCTATACTAAACTATACAATACTCTACTATACAATACTCTACTATACTCCACAATACTCTACTATACCCTACAATACTCTTCTATACTATACTAAACAATACTCTACTATACTCTACAATACTCTTCTATACGCTACTATACTATACAATACTCTTCTATACTATACTATACAATACTCTTCTATACTATACTATACAATACTCTTCTATACTATACTCTACTATACTATACAATACTCTTCTATACTATACTATACTCTACTATACTCACCTATACTATACAATACTCTTCTATACTCTACAATACTCTTCTATACTATACTATACTCTACTATACTATACAATACTCTTCTATACTCTACTATACTCTTCTATACTCTACTATACTCTACAATACTCTACTATACTATACTATACAATAGTCTTCTATACTATACAATACTCTTCTATACTCTACTATACAATACTCTTCTATACTCTACAATACTCTACTATACTCTACTATACTCTAAAATACTCTACAATACTCTTCTATACTCTTCTATACTCTACTATACAATACTCTTCTATACTATACTCTACTATACTCTACAATACTATACAATACTCTTCTATACTATACTCTACTATACTCTACAATACTATACAATACTCTTCTATACTCTACTATACAATACTCTTCTATACTATACTCTACTATACTCTACAATACTATACAATACTCTTCTATGCTATACTCTACAATACTCTATTATACTCTAGTATACTATACAATACTCTACTATACTATACGATACTCTAAAATACTATATTCTACAATACTCTACTATACTATACTCTACTTTACAATACACTACTATACTATACCATACTATGCTCTACAACACTCCACAATACTCTATAATACTCTACTATACCATACTATACTCTACAATACTCTACTATACTCTAATATACTATACAATACTCCTCTATACTACACTCTACTCTACTGTACTATACTATACAATACTCTTCTATACTCTACAATACTATACAATACTCTTCTATACTCTACTCTACTATACAATACTCTACTATACTCTACAATACTCTTCTATACTATACTATACTATACAATAATCCTCTATACTAGACTCTACAATACTCTACTATACTATACAATACTCTTCTATACTATACTCTACTATACTATACTCTACTATACTCTACAATACTCTACTATACTCTACTATACTATACAATACTATTCTATACTATACTCTCCTCTACTATACAATAGTCTTCTATACTCTACTATACTATACAATACTCTTCTATACTATACTCTACTCTACTTTACAATACTCTACTATACTATACTCTACAATACTCCACAATACTCTACTATACTATACAATACTCTTCTATACTCTACTATACTATACTCTACTATACTATACTCTACTTTACAATACTCTACTATACTATACTATACTATACCATACTATACTATACTCTACGATACTCTACAATACTCTATTATACTATACTATACTCTTCTATACTCTACTCTACTATACTCTACTTTACAATACTCTACTATACTATACCATACTATACTCTACAATACTCCACAATACTCTACAATACTCCACAATACTCTACAATACTCTACTATACTCTACTTTACATTAGCATACTCTACTATACTATACTCTACTATACTACACTCTACCATACTCTAGTTTAGTTTATGTATTTAAGATGACAGGGACAGTGTACACTAAACATGAACCTCAAAGGGACAGATGTTTTGCAACAGGTTTCAGCTCAGAGCTCATTGTCCCTGAGCTCAAGATATGATATAACAGTAACAATTACACACACTCATGGATGTAGCTTACATCTCGTTTAAAGATCCTACACTCGCCGCGCTCGATGGATCTCGTTTAAGGATCCTACACTCGCCGCGCTCGGTGGATCTCGTTTAAAGATTGTATACTCGCCGCGCTCGATGGATCTCGTTTAAGGATCCTACACTCGCAGCGCTCGGTGGATCTCGTTTAAAGATCCTACACTCGCGGCGCTCGGTGGATCTCGTTTAAAGATCCTACACTCGCCGCGCTCGGTGGATCTCGTTTAAGGATCCTACACTCGCCGCACTCGGTGGATCTCGTCTAAGGATCCTGCACTCACTGCGCTCGGTGGATCTCGTTTAAGGATCCTACACTCGCCGCACTCGGTGGATCTCGTCTAAGGATCCTGCACTCACTGCGCTCGGTGGATCTCGTTTAAAGATCCTACACTCGCCGCGCTCGGTGGATCTCGTTTAAGGATCCTACACTCGCCGCACTCGGTGGATCTCGTCTAAGGATCCTGCACTCACTGCGCTCGGTGGATCTCGTTTAAAGATCCTACACTCGCCGCGCTCGGTGGATCTCGTTTAAGGATCCTACACTCGCCGCACTCGGTGGATCTTGTCTAAGGATCCTGCACTCACTGCGCTCGGTGGATCTCGTTTAAGGATCCTACACTCGCCGCACTCGGTGGATCTCGTCTAAGGATCCTGCACTTGCTGCGCTCGGTGGATCTCGTTTAAAGATCCTACACTCGCGGTGCTCGGTGGATCTCGTGGCTCCTATTGTTATGTTTGAGCCTAAAAAAGATGAAGGAGCAGCGGTGACATGAAGGATCATACTATACTCTACCATTCTCTACTGTACTGTACTCTACTCTACTCTACCATTCTCTACTGTACTCTACTCTACTCTACCATTCTCTACTCTACTCTACCATTCTCTACTGTACTCTACTCTACTCTACCATTCTCTACTGTACTCTACTCTACCATACTCTACTGTACTGTACCCTACCCTGCCCTACTCTACTCTACTGTGCTCTACTGTACTCTACTGTACTCTACTCTACCATACTCTACTGTACTGTACTCTACTCTACTCTGCTCTACTCTACCATACTCTACGGTACTCTACTGTACTCTACTCTACCATTCTCTACTGTACTGTACTCTACTCTACTCGGCCCTACTCTACCATTCTCTACTGCACTCTACTCTACCCTACTCTACTCTACTCTACTCTACCATACTCTACTGTACTCTACTCTACCATACTACACCCTACTATACTGTATCACACAGATGCAAAGAGTCAGACAAATGAAACACCAAATTGTCAAATATTTGTGACAGAATTTAGCCAAACATCACCCAGTATATGTCCAGCATTTAGGATTTCAAATGACAAAAGACGACACAGGGAGCAGCGTCTGACACCTGAGCTCCTCACAGTCCTGTTCCCTCCCTCATGCTGTGATTAAGAATGATCAGGTTAAAGTGTCTGAGGCTTCTGCAGACAGAGACAGGAGCTCGGGGTAGAGTCGCTGCTCCCTCTGAGACAGGAGCTCGGGGTAGAGTCGCTGCTCACCACACGTCCTTCTGAGGTGTGCTCGTTGCAGCGTGTGTAGTTGGTCCACGTTCTGTTGCTCTCGGGATGAAGGAACCACTGCCCACTGTCAGTGCAGATCTTAGACACCATCTCTGCAACACAATACACACACACACACACAGAGACACACACACACACACACACAGAGAGACGCACAGACACACACACACAAATACACACACACAGAGACGCACAGACACACACAGAGACGCACAGACACACACACACAAACAAACACACACAGAGACGCACAGACACACACACAAACACACACACACACAGACACACACACACACACACACAGACACACACACACACACACACAGAGACACACACACACACACGCAGAGACACACACACAAACACACACACACACAGACACACACACACACACACACACACACACACACATAGAGACACACACACACACAGAGACCCACAGACACACACAGAGACACACACACACACACACAGACGCACAAACACACACACACACACATACAGACGCACACGCACACTATTTAGAGAAGAAGAACGTGTACAGTGTCAGCAGTTGTCGTTGTACAGTCTGACAGCAGTGAGGGTGGATCAGTCTGTAGTCCCAGGACTGAGGCTGTAGACCCAGGACTGAGACTGTAGACCCAGGACTGAGGCTGTAGACCCAGGACTGAGGCTGTAGACCCAGGACTGAGGCTGTAGACCCAGGACTGAGGCTGTAGACCCAGGACTGAGGCTGTAGACCCAGGACTGAGGCTGTAGACCCAGGACTGAGGCTGTAGACCCAGGACTGAGGCTGTAGACCCAGGACTGAGGCTGTAGACCCAGGACTGAGGCTGTAGACCCAGGACTGAGGCTGTAGACCCAGGATGGAGGCGGCTCATAACAGTGAGAAGTGGAGCAGTGGCTGACATACGAGTTATTGCTGTGGTTTATCCCTTCGTTCTCCCGGTCAGCCGTGTGTGACATCACTTTTGCTTTTTGTCTTTAACGGAAAGTCTAGAAGTGGAGCGTAATCGTCTGACAGAGAACCTGACGCTGAGGCGTGGCCAGAGGGAAAGACAGGCGTGTTGTGCAGACCCGTGTCAACCTTACACCACAGGAGAAGACAGAGAGAGAGAGGGACCAGAGAGAGACCAGAGAGAGACCAGAGATGGACCAGAGAGAGACCAGAGAGAGACCAGAGAGAGACCAGAGATGGACCAGAGAGAGACCAGAGAGAGACCAGAGAGGGACCAGAGAGAGACCAGAGAGAGTCCAGAGAGAGACCAGATAGAGACAAGAGAGAGACCAGAGAGGGACCAGAGAGAGACCAGAGAGGGACCAGAGAGAGACCAGAGAGAGACCAGAGAGGGACCAGAGAGAGACCAGAGAGAGTCCAGAGAGAGACCAGATAGAGACAAGAGAGAGACCAGAGAGGGACCAGAGAGAGACCAGAGAGGGACCAGAGAGAGACCAGAGAGAGACCAGAGAGGGACCAGAGAGAGACCAGAGAGAGTCCAGAGAGAGACCAGATAGAGACAAGAGAGAGACCAGAGAGGGACCAGAGAGAGACCAGAGAGGGACCAGAGAGGGACCAGAGAGAGACCAGAGAGAGACCAGAGAGGGCCAGAGAGAGAGACCAGAGAGAGAGACCAGAGAGACCAGAGAGAGACCAGAGAGAGAGACCAGAGAGAGACCAGAGAGAGACCAGAGAGAGAGAGACCAGAGAGAGACCAGAGAGAGAGAGACCAGAGAGAGACCAGAGAGAGACCAGAGAGAGACCAGAGAGAAACCAGAGAGAGAGACCAGAGAGAGAGAGACCAGAGAGAGAGACCAGAAAGACCAGAGAGAGACCAGAGAGAGAGACCAGAGAGAGAGACCAGAGAGAGAGAGACCAGAGAGAGACCAGAAAGAGACCAGAGAGAGAACAGAACACAGCTCCACTGCTCGCTCTGCAGTCCTGTACTGTGTGTGTATTGTTAGAACCATGGGTCTGAGTCAAATGGTTCTTTGGAGGCTGATGGTATGCGCTACATAAATAAACCATAAAGCGCCGGTACCAGATGGATCGAAGTCCTGGAAGTAGTCTGGACAGTGCTGCTCCGCGGTGTGTCCGGCTCGAGTGTCCTCCCAACACAACCAGCCATCCCAGGTCCTGTTACACAGAGAGTCTGCAACCAGAGAGACCAGGGACCATCAGAGACCAGGGAGAGACCAGAGGGAGACCAGAGAAAGACAAGAGAGACCAGGGACCATCAGAGACCAGAGAGAGACCAGAGGGAGACCAGAGAAAGACCAGAGAGACCAGGGACCATCAGAGACCAGTGAGAGACCAGAGGGACACCAGAGAGAGACCAGACACCATCAGAGACCAGAAAGAGACCAGGGACCAGAGAGAGACCAGAGGGACACCAGAGAGACCAGACACCATCAGAGACCAGAGAGACCAGAGGGACCAGAGACCATCAGAGACCAGAGAGACCAGAGACCATCAGAGACCAGAGAGACACCATCAGAGACCAGAGGGACACCAGAGAGAGACCAGAGGGACCAGAGACCGTCAGAGACCAGAGAGAGACCAGAGAGAGACCAGAGAGACCAAAGGGACCATCAGAGACCATCAGAGACCAGAGACCAGAGATAGAGACCAGAGAGAGACCAGAGAGAGACCAGAGAGAGACCAGAGAGAGATCAGAGAGAGAGACCAGAGAGAGACCAGAGAGAGATCAGAGAGAGAGACCAGAGAGAGACCAGAGAGAGACCAGAGAGAGAGACCAGAGAGATAGAACCCAAGGATGGAAGATAATGAGACCAGAGTGAGCAAAAAAGCAGAAGAAGAGTCAGGTCCCTCAGCTTTAGTCCAGACCCACCGGCTCGGTCCGATGCAGAGTCCTTGAGGATCTTTTGGTAACACTCGAACTGAGCCGTGACGATCTTGTTCCTGGTCAGACCCATGTCATGGTACACGTGTGTGGGCAGCTGCTGGGACTCATTCACCTCCGGGCTGGCTTCTGCTGAGAACTGTGAGGGAGGAAGTACCATGAGAGACCAGAGGGAGACCGGAGGGAGACCAGAGAGACCAGAGGGAGACCGGAGGGAGAGCAGAGGGAGACCAGAGAGACCAGAGAGACCAGAGGGAGACCAGAGAGAGACCAGAGAGAGAGCAGAAGGAGACCAGAGGGAGACCAGAGAGAGAGCAGAAGGAGACCGGAGGGAGACCAGAGAGAGACCAGAGAGAGACCGGAGGGAGACTGGAGGGAGAGCAGAGGGAGACCAGCAAGAGAGACCAGAGGGAGACCGGAGGGAGAGCAGAAGGAGACCAGAGGGAGACCAGAGGGACACAAGAGGGAGAGACCAAAGGGAGACCAGAGGGAGACCAGAGAGAGACCAGAGTCCAGAGAGCTGTACCTGTGTGAAGCTGCAGATCAGCAGGAGCACAGTGACCCCGGCGCTCGTCCACTCACACATGATGATCACCTGAAACACACACACTTTACACTTTACTACACTTTACTACACTTTACAACACTTTACAACACTTTACTACACTTTACTACACTTTACTACACTTTACAACACTTTACTACACTTTACTACACTTTACAACACTTTACTACACTTTACTACACTTTACTACACTTTACAACACTTTACTACACTTTACTACACTTTACAACACTTTACAACACTTTACTACACTTTACAACACTTTACAACAAACTCCAAGTCCACATGTTCATAGACACACACAACCTAGACCACTGATTGTGACCAATCAGAGAGCGGCTGAGAGACCAGCGGGACATGTGAGCGTTCTGACCAATCAGAGAGCGGCTGAGAGACCAGCGGGACATGTGAGCGTTCTGACCAATCAGAGCGCGGCTGAGAGACCAGCGGGACATGTGAGCGTTCTGACCAATCAGAGAGCGGCTGAGAGACCAGCGGGACATGTGAGCGTTCTGACCAATCAGAGCGCGGCTGAGAGACCAGCGGGACATGTGGCACTGAAGTGAGGGTTTACAGAAAACCGTTGGTAGAGATTTGGCCTCTGGTCTCTCACTGGTCTCTCTCTGGTCTCTCTCTCTGGTCTTTCGCTGGTCTCTCTCTGGTCTCTCTCTGGTCTCTCTCTCTGGTCTCTCTCTGGTCTCACTCTGGTATCTCCCTCTGGTCTCTCTCTGGTCTCACTCTGGTATCTCCCTCTGGTTTCTCTCTGGTATCTCTCTGGTATCTCTCTCTGGTCTCTCTCTCTGGTCTCTCTCTGGTCTTTCTCTGGTCTCTCTCTGGTCTCTCTCTGGTCTCTCTCTGGTCTCTCTCTGGTCTTTCTCTGGTCTCTCTCTGGTCTCTCTCTGGTCTCTCTCTGGTCTCTCTCTCTGGTCTCTCTCTCTGGTCTCTCTCTCTGGTCTCTCTCTCTGGTCTCTCTCTGGTCTCTCTGGTCTCTCTCTGGTCTCTCTGGTCTCTCTCTGGTCTCTCTCTGGTTTCTCTCTGGTCTCTCTCTGGTTTCTCTCTGGTCTCTCTGGTCTCTCTGACTTGCGTCACTTCAAAACAACAAATAGCAGAATGTGATATAACATTTATTTTTAAACGTCTGAAAGGTGTTGTTTGTCCTTTTGCACTTTGTCGGAGCTGCTTTTCTTCAGCAGTACAAAGACCTCACACAAGTCTCTCTGGTCTCTCTCTCTGGTCTCTCTATCTCTGGTCTCTCTCTCTGGTCTCTCTCTCTCTGGTCTCTCTCTGGTCTCTCTCTCTGGTCTCTCTCTGGTCTCTCTCTGGTCTCTCTATCTCTGGTCTCTCTCTCTGGTCTCTCTCTGGTCTCTCTATCTCTGGTCTCTCTCTGGTCTCTCTCTCTGGTCTCTCTCTGGTCTCTCTATCTCTGGTCTCTCTCTGGTCTCTCTCTGGTCTCTCTATCTCTGGTCTCTCTCTCTGGTCTCTCTCTCTGGGCTCTCTCTCTGGTCTCTCTCTGGTCTCTCTCTCTGGTCTCCCTCTGGTCTCTCTCTGGTCTCTCTCTGGTCTCTCTCTCTCTGGTCTCTCTCTCTGGTCTCCCTCTGGTCTCTCTCTGGTCTCTCTCTGGTCTCTCTCTCTCTGGTCTCTCTCTGGTCTCTCTCTCGTCTCCCTCTCATCTCCCTCTGGTCTCTCTCTGGTCTCCCTCTGGTCTATCTCTGGTCTCCCTGGTCTCTCTCTGGTCTCCCTCTGGTCTCTCTCTTGTGTCTCTCTCTGGTCTCCCTCTGGTCTCTCTCTGGTCTCCCTCTGGTCTCCCTCTGGTCTATCTCTGGTCTCCCTGGTCTCTCTCTTGTGTCTCTCCCTGGTCTCTCCCTGGTCTCTCTCTGGTCTCCCTCTGGTCTCCCTCTGGTCTCTCTCTTGTGTCTCTCCCTGGTCTCTCCCTGGTCTCTCTCTGGTCTCCCTCTGGTCTCCCTCTGGTCTCTCTCTGGTCTCCCTCTGGTCTCTCTCTGGTCTCTCTCGTCTCCCTCTCATCTCCCTCTGGTCTCTCTCTGGTCTCCCTCTGGTCTCCCTCTGGTCTCTCCCTGGTCTCTCTCTGGTCCTTCAGAGACAGAGGTCAGGTATAAATAGACCCAAGGCAGACTCTGTGTCAGCAAATGGACTGTACCATGTTGGACAGAACCATGTGGGATCAACTATTATGAGAGCAGATCCTCAGAGCGTGGCCCACCCAAGATCATGTGCAAGGGACAATCTACTTTAAACCTGCTTCAGTCCTGGTCCTGTCCAGTCCCGGTGCAGCTCTGGTCCAGTCCTGCTTCAGTCCTGGTCCGGTTCTGGTCCAGTCCCGGTGCAGTTCTGGTCCAGTCCCAGTGCAGTTCTGGTCCAGTCCTGCTTCAGCCCTGGTCCGGTTCTGGTCCAGTCTCAGTGCAGTCCTGGTCCAGTCTCAGTGCAGTCCTGGTCCGGTTCTGGTCCAGTCCTGGTGCAGTCCTGGTCTGGCTGCAGATGCGTCTCATTAGCATGTTGTCGCTAACACTATGCTAATGTGTGAGTGGGAGTTTACGGAGGAAGAAAAACTGTTTTTCTGATTTCACCTCAGATTAGAAAAATAAGAACAAACTTTGTTTAAATATAAAAGTCCTGAGAACAGAATCTCTGGTCTCTCTCTGGTCTCTCTCTGGTCTCTCTCTGGTCTCTTTCAGGTCCCTCTCTGGTCTCTTTCAGGTCCCTCTCTGGTCTCTTTCTGGTCTCTCTCTCTGGTCTCTCTCTGGTCTCTTTCTGGTCTCTCTCTGGTCTCTCTCTGGTCTCTCTCTGGTCTCTCTCTGGTCTCTCTCTGGTCTCTTTCAGGTCCCTCTCTGGTCTCTTTCTGGTCTCTCTCTCTGGTCTCTCTCTGGTCTCTTTCTGGTCTCTCTCTGGTCTCTCTCTGGTCTCTCTCTGGTCTCTCTCTGGTCTCTCTCTCTGGTCTCTCTCTCTGGTCTCTTTCAGGTCCCTCTCTGGTCTCTTTCAGGTCCCTCTCTGGTCTCTCTCTGGTCTCTCTCTGGTCTCTCTCTGGTCTCTCTCTGGTCTCTCTCTCTGGTCTCTCTCTCTGGTCTCTTTCAGGTCCCTCTCTGGTCTCTCTCTGGTCTCTCTCTGGTCTCTCTCTCTAATCTCTCTCTGGTCTCTCTCTGGTCTCTCTCTCTGGTCTCTTTCTGGTCTCTCTCTGGTCTCTCTCAGGTCCCTCTCTGGTCTAACATCAAATATAATGTGTGTCAAACAAAAACACGGAGCAGGAGAGGACCAGGTTAGGACTAGGTAAGGACCAGGTGAGGACCAGGAGAGGACCAGGTTAGGACTAGGTAAGGACCAGGTGAGGACCGGGTGAGGACCAGAGAGACCATTGGTGTGTGCACCTTTCTTTAAGACCAAAGTGCCACAGACTGTAGCTCCTTCTTTAAGAGTCTGTATTCAACCTCCAACACTCACACTCTAAACACTGTAGACTTGCACCAGGCTGGGAACACTCTGCAGTAGGTATACAGCTGTAGACCTGCACCAGGCTGGGAACACTCTGCAGTAGGTATACAGCTGTAGACCTGCACCAGGCTGGGAACACTCTGCAGTAGGTATACAGCTGTAGACCTGCACCAGGCTGGGAACACTCTGCAGTAGGTAAGCAGCTGTAGACTTGCACCAGGCTGGGAACACTCTGCAGTAGGTAAGCAGCTGTAGACCTGCACCAGGCTGGGAACACTCTGCCGTAGGTATACAGCTGTAGACCTGCACCAGGCTGGGAACACTCTGCAGTAGATATACAGCTGTAGACCTGCACCAGGCTGGGAACACTCTGCATAAGGTATACAGCTGTAGACCTGCACCAGGCTGGGAAGACTCTGCAGTAGGTATACAGCTGTAGACCTGCACCAGGCTGGGAACACTCTGCAGTAGGTATACAGCTGTAGACCTGCACCAGGCTGGGAACACTCTGCAGTAGGTAAGCAGCTGTAGACCTGCACCAGGCTGGGAACACTCTGCCGTAGGTATACAGCTGTAGACCTGCACCAGGCTGGGAACACTCTGCAGTAAGTATACAGCTGTAGACCTGCACCAGGCTGGGAACACTCTGCAGTAGATATACAGCTGTAGACCTGCACCAGGCTGGGAACACTCTGCAGTAGGTATACAGCTGTAGACCTGCACCAGGCTGGGAAGACTCTGCAGTAGGTAAGCAGCTGTAGACCTGCACCAGGCTGGGAAGACTCTGCAGTAGGTATACAGCTGTAGACCTGCACCAGGCTGGGAACACTCTGCAGTAGGTATACAGCTGTAGACCTGCACCAGGCTGGGAACACTCTGCAGTAGGTATACAGCTGTTGACCTGCACCAGGCTGGGAAGACTCTGCAGTAGGTAAGCAGCTGTAGACCTGCACCAGGCTGGGAACACTCTGCAGTAGGTAAGCAGCTGTAGACCTGCACCAGGCTGAGAACACTCTGCAGTAGGTATACAGCTGTAGACCTGCACCAGGCTGGGAACACTCTGCAGTAGGTATACAGCTGTAGACCTGCACCAGGCTGGGAACACTCTGCAGTAGGTATACAGCTGTTGACCTGCACCAGGCTGGGAACACTCTGCAGTAGGTAAGCAGCTGTAGACCTGCACCACGCTGGGAAGACTCTGCAGTAGGTAAGCAGCTGTAGACCTGCACCAGGCTGGGAAGACTCTGCAGTAGGTATACAGCTGTAGACCTGCACCAGGCTGGGAAGACTCTGCAGTAGGTATACAGCTGTAGACCTGCACCAGGCTGGGAAGACTCTGCAGTAGGTATACAGCTGTAGACCTGCACCAGGCTGGGAACACTCTGCAGTAGGTAAGCAGCTGTAGACCTGCACCAGGCTGGGAACACTCTGCAGTAGGTATACAGCTGTAGACCTGCACCAGGCTGGGAAGACTCTGCAGTAGGTATACAGCTGTAGACCTGCACCAGGCTGGGAAGACTCTGTAGTAGGTATACAGCTGTAGACCTGCACCAGGCTGGGAACACTCTGCAGTAGGTATACAGCTGTAGACCTGCACCAGGCTGGGAAGACTCTGCAGTAGGTATACAGCTGTAGACCTGCACCAGGCTGGGAAGACTCTGTAGTAGGTATACAGCTGTAGACCTGCACCAGGCTGGGAACACTCTGCAGTAGGTATACAGCTGTTGACCTGCACCAGGCTGGGAAGACTCTGCAGTAGGTAAGCAGCTGTAGACCTGCACCAGGCTGGGAACACTCTGCAGTAGGTAAGCAGCTGTAGACCTGCACCAGGCTGAGAACACTCTGCAGTAGGTATACAGCTGTAGACCTGCACCAGGCTGAGAACACTCTGCAGTAGGTATATACAGCTGTAGACCTGCACCAGGCTGGGAACACTCTGCAGTAGGTATACAGCTGTAGACCTGCACCAGGCTGGGAACACTCTGCAGTAGGTATACAGCTGTAGACCTGCACCAGGCTGGGAAACACTCTGCAGTAAGTAAGCAGCTGTAGACCTGCACCACGCTGGGAACACTCTGCAGTAGGTATACAGCTGTCGACCTGCACCAGGCTGGGAACACTCTGCAGTAGGTAAGCAGCTGTAGACCTGCACCACGCTGGGAACACTCTGCAGTAGGTATACAGCTGTCGACCTGCACCAGGCTGGGAAGACTCTGCAGTAGGTATACAGCTGTAGACCTGCACCAGGCTGGGAAGACTCTGCAGTAGGTCAGCAGAGTGGTGTGGAGAAATTATTAGACAATGGAAGACATACAAGACACTGATATCGCCACCATCTGGGGCTCCACCATCTCACCCAGAACCACACAGGGACCATGTAACAAAGGTACCATCAGTAACAAAGGTACCATCAGTGACAGTGGTACCATCAATAACAAAGGTACCATCAGTAACAGAGGTACCATCAGTAACAAAGGTACCATCAGTAACAGAGGTACCATCAGTAACAGAGGTACCATCAGTAACAAAGGCAACATCAGTAACAAAGGCAACATCAGTAACAGAGGTACCATCAGTAACAGAGGTACCATCAGTAGCAGAGGTACCATCAGTAGCAGAGGTACCATCAGTAGCAGAGGTACCATTATAACAAAGGTACCATCAGTGACAGAGGTACCATCAGTAACAAAGATACCATCAGTAGCAGAGGTACCATCAGTAACAGAGGTACCATCAGTAGCAGAGGTACCATCAGTAGCAGAGGTACCATCAGTAACAGAGGTACCATCACTAACAGAGGTACCATCAGTAACAGACAAACAGGAAAAGGAGGAGGTGTTTTAATATATAAAAAGAAAAGAGTGAAATTAATGTTTTTAACCTGGATCAGCAAATGATGTCAACTCATGAAACAGAGAGACCTCGCTAAAAAGACATTTCAACAAAACTTAACACGGATAATGCAATGTTTAAAAGCCTCAGAAATCAGGTGGTCAGTGAGATGCCCAAAGCTGAAACTACAAACTACAAACTACATACTACATACATGTAAAAGATGGAACATCCAAAGGAAACATACTGTACTTACACAAAGTCACAAAACATGATTCCAGACAAAAAGCCAGAGCCATAACACGCTAAACGTTGATGGTAAACTTACTGACCAAATGCAAATGGTTTCTTTGCTCAATTCCTATTTTGTGAAATCAGTGGAAGAACCAGCAGCATCTTTCAAATCAACAGAACCCAATAAACCCGACAAACATATGGAAAAGAAATTCTCTACTGCACGAACAAATGAGGCAAGTATTAAGACAATTATAAGTTAGTATTAGTACTATGAAACCATCCAACACCAGGAAGGGTTTGGATTAGACAAAGCATCAAGATTCTTTATCTGGACACCTGACCCATATGGTACAACTGTCATTCACCAGCGACCCATATGGTACATCTGTCATTCACCAGCGACCCATATGGTACATCTGTCACTCACCAGTGACCCATATGGTACATCTGTCACTCACCAGTGACCCATATGGTACATCTGTCACTCACCAGTGACCCATATGGTACATCTGTTATTCACCAGTGACCCATATGGTACATCTGTCACTCACCAGTGACCCATATGGTACATCTGTTATTCACCAGCGACCCATATGGTACATCTGTCACTCACCAGTGACCCATATGGTATGGTACATCTGTCACTCACCAGTGACCCATATGGTACATCTGTCACTCACCAGTGACCCATATGGTACATCTGTCACTCACCAGTGACCCATATGGTACATCTGTCACTCACCAGTGACCCATATGGTACATCTGTCACTCACCAGTGACCCATATGGTACATCTGTCACTCACCAGTGACCCATATGGTACATCTGTCACTCACCAGTGAGGTATTATAAAAAACAGTTTCAGATCAATGATCTTGAATAAAACAACATGTTTGATCCAAAGCAGTTTGGCTTTAGGACAAAACACTCCACAGAAATATTTACAGGTTTCTTCGTGGACAGTCTTAGAAAAGGACCGGGGTGATGTGGTCGGGGCAGTGGTCCTAGACCTTCGTGAGGCCTTCCATATGGTCCACCATCTTGTCCTTGTCCACAAACTGAAACAGCTACATTTCTCACAGCGAGCGCTCAGCTGGTTTGTCATATTTGGACTCCAGAATGCAACATGGGGGTACCACAGGGTTCCATCCTGGCCCCATCCTACTTGTCTGTACATCATACTGTGTACAAGCATAAACCATGCACCAGTGTTACTGGATACATTTCCCGCGTAAATGGCGTGGTCCCACCCCTCCCACGCTGAAGAGGTACTATTATTAATGGAAAAGCACCCGTGCTCGGCCGTGCCGTACCGTGACTATGGAAAAGCGGCAAAAGGTACCATCAGAAACAAAGCTACCATCAGTAACACTGCAGGCCCCCAGGGCATGTCCAGGTCTGAAGCTACAGAGCATTTGGATGATCCAGAAAATGATTCGGAGAATGACACATGGTATTGGGAGAATGTCACATGGTATTGGGAGAATGTCACATGGTCATGGTATTGGGAGAATGTCACATGGTATTGGGAGAATGTCACATGGTCATGGTATTGGGAGAATGTCACATGGTATTGGAAGAAGGTCACATGGTCATGGTATTGGGAGAATGTCACATGGTATTGGGAAAATGTCACATGGTCATGGTGTTGGGATAATGTCACATGGTCATGGTGTTGGGAGAATGTCACCTGGTATTGGAAGAATGTCAAACCAAAATACAACTTTTTGGTAAAAACTCAACTTCCATCCAAGAGAACACCTACATGGGGATGGAAACATCATGCTCTGGGGCTGTTTTTCTGCAAAAGCACCAGGACGCCCCATGTAAAGGAAAGAATGAATGAGACCATGTGTGAGCCTCACATGGTCAAACTGATACATGTTCAGGTGGAAAGAGCTGGAGCAGCCTAACTTCAGATCTGTCTCTTACTACTGTCCTGTCTGTGCGCAGCAACACTGAAATGTCCCCACTGTGGGACCAATACAGGAACTCTAATCTTAAAACCTCCATCAGCACAATGATCCAAATGGATGCTTCGTAAGAAGCATTTCAAGGTCCTGGAGAGGCCTTTAAAGGTCCTGGAGTGGCCTTCCAAGGTCCTGGAGAAGCCTTTCAAGGTCCTGGAGTGGCATTTCAAGGTCCTGGAGTGGCCTTTCAAGGCCCTGGAGCGACCTTTCAAGGTCCTGGAGTGGCCTTTCAAGGTCCTGGAGAGGCCTTTCAAAGTCCTGGAGAAGCCTTTCAAGGTCCTGGAGAAGCCTTTCAAAGTCCTGGAGAGGCCTTTCAAGATCTTGGAGTGGCCTTCCAAGGTCCTGAAGTGGCCTTTCAAGGTCCTGGAGAGGCATTTCAAAGTCCTGGAGTGGCCTTTCAAGGTCCTGGATTGGCCTTTCAAGGTCTTGGAGAGGCCTTTCAAAGTCCTGGAGAGGCCTTTCAAGGTCCTGGAGTGGCCTTCCAAGGTCCTGGAGTGGCCTTTCAAGGTCCTGGAGAGGCCTTTCAAGGTCCTGGAGAGGCCTTTCAAGGTCCTGGAGTGGCCTTTCAAGGTCCTGGAGCAGCCTTTCAAGGTCTTGGAGAAGCCTTTCAAAGTCCAGGAGAGGCCTTTTAAGGTCCTGGAGGGGCCTTTCAAGGTCCTGGAGTGGCCTTTCAAGGTCCTGGAGCAGCCTTTCAAAGTCCTGGAGAAGCCTTTCAAAGTCCTGGAGAGGCCTTTCAAGGTCCTAGAGAAGCCTTTCAAGGTCCTGGAGTGGCCTTTCAAGGTCCTGGAGAAGCCTTTCAAGGTCCTGGAGCGGCCTTTCAAGGTCCTGGAGCAAGGTCCTGGAGAGGCCTTTCAAGGTCCTGGAGAAGCCATTCAAGGTCCTGGAGCGGCCTTTCAAGGTCCTGGAGCAAGGTCCTGGAGAGGCCTTTCAAGGTCCTGGAGAGGCCTCATAGAACATCTTTGAAGGGAGTTGAAAGTCTTTGTGCTCTAGAGGAGATCTGCAGGAAGAATGGGCCAAAATACCAGCAGCAGTGAAAACCCTGTGAAGACTTTTTAAGTTGGAGAACTTGTACAATTAGTGGTGACTATGTACTTATTTACCCCACTATATCTGTGATGCTACTATTCTGGAACGAGAGAGAGACCAGAGAGAGACCAGAGAGAGAGAGACCAGAGAGAGACCAGAGAGAGAGACCAAAGAGAGACCAGAGAGAGACCAGAGACAGACCAAAGAGAGACCAGAGAGAGACCAGAGAGAGACCAGAGAGAGAGACCAAAGAGAGACCAGAGAGAGACCAGAGAGAGACCAGAGAGAGAGACCAGAGAGAGACCAGAGAGAGACCAGAGAGAGAGACCAGAGAGAGACCAGAGAGAGACCAGAGAGAGACCAGAGAGAGACCAGAGAGAGACCAGAGAGAGAGACCAAAGAGAGACCAGAGAGAGACCAGAGAGAGACCAGAGACAGACCAAAGAGAGACCAGAGAGAAACCAGAGAGAGACCAGAGAGAGACCAGAGAGAGAGACCAAAGAGAGACCAGAGAGAGACCAGAGAGAGACCAAAGAGAAACCAGAGAGAGACCAGAGAGAGACCAAAGAGAGACCAGAGAGAGACCAGAGACAGACCAAAGAGAGACCAGAGAGAGACCAGAGAGAGACCAGAGAGAGAGACCAGAGAGAGACCAAAGAGAGACCAGAGAGAGACCAGAGAGAGAGACCAGAGAGAGACCAGAGAGAGACAAGAGAGAGACCAGAAACAGACCAGAGAGAGATCAGAGAGAGACCAGAGAGACCAGAGAGAGACCAGAGGCATTTTGGGGTAAAGTCCTGGGTTTTTCAGTATAATGAGTCTATTTTTATAGAATCAAATTTGAGTTTGTTTTGATGCAGCAGCAGGAGGCAATAGGATAAGTGCTTTTATTCTCAACAGGAAAGAGTCAAACTGTGAGGGACATGAAGACCAGAAAGACCAGTAAAATTCGTTCAGTTTTGTCCCATATTTTACCACTATTAATTAGTTTTGCTGTTTAGTGCTGAAAAACTATTTAATTAATAACAGATTTTCCAACCAGAACTGTGTCTTTATCACAGCATCACAGTTGAAATGACTTTAAAAAAATAATGAAATCCATAACACTATCAACATAAACCCGACAGTAGAAACACGTGAATGAGCTCAAACAGCTTTGTTTGCTATTTTGTCCTGAAGAGGACAAAGTACACCGTAAATGGACCGCTTTCCTGTGTGGATCGCCCTCATGTGGTTAGTTGTGGATTCATAATAAAAAAATAAAAAAGAAAATAAAATAAAAAAAAATAAAAAATAATTAATTAAACAAATAAAAATTAAACAAACATTCTCCTCCAAAACTCCGTAAGGGGAACGCGCCAGTAATAACATCCAATTTTAAGCTAACGAGGTCCACCGCAACCCGCTAACAGTAAGCCAACGCCGCGCAAGTATACACAGGCATTAGAGACCAGAGAGAGACCAGAGTACCAGAGAGAGACCAGAGAGAGGAGACCAGCTTCTTTCAGTTGTTTATCATCTGAGCAAGTCACTTTAATGATCATGTATTGGTGTATTTTGTTTGATTGTTTTTCACATTATGGATTTTTTCTTTTTACTTCTTCTAGTACTTCCTTTTTGGCTTGTTGTAATTTTATGTACACTTGTCTGCTGAGCACACTGGGGATTCTTGCACATGAATTCCAAAGTGGTTATTACTGCCTAACCTGGCAATAAACTGAAATCTGAATTCTTTTGTTCCAATGGGGCTTTAGGGATGGCCCACAGACTATAAGTTTAGGCAGACTTCTGAAAGATAGAACCCTAATCCTAAATTTGATCTTCTAACATTTACAGCCCGTCCCTCATAGCCTCTCGTAGAGCCTGACTATCAATAGTCCTCTCTCCGCAGTGGAGCAAGGCGGCAAAGATTTAGCCCTATGTTTATGAAGTCAAAAACAAATCTCCATGGTTCAAATTGAAATTTAATATGGAGAAGCCCAGAGCGTCTTGTTATAGCAGTGTCCTCTTGTGTGTGCGTTGTTTATTTTCATTTCCTCTGTCTCGGAGCAGCCAGGCTGTCAGCTCAGAGCCCAGGTGGGGAGAGGATGGCGATAATGGATTTGACAAATAAAAATGTTGTAATGACCCGAAAAAACGGCGTTACATTATAATGCTTATGTAGCTGCAGCAGTATCTCCAACGTCACTGAGAGAAGCCACAGATTGGAGTAAACACTGGCTCCCATTTGTACCATAAAACAGAAATGCATGTTACAGGAGGGTCTCAAGTCAGTGGTTAGGTGGTTATGCGGATCCTAGGAGACTTGGTATTTCACAATATATTCTGCTCTGACCTATATTTCTCTAAAGCAATGTTTTTGCGACAATCAAAAACATTTTATTAACAATTATGGACATTGGTCCCCGGGAGAGTTTTATCTCTTCAGGTCCCGGTGGAGGAGGGGGACATCGAGTCCGATTGGACCATGTCCCTGTTTTCCACCTCTATCACCGATGCGGTGCTCGTAGCGTGGTCGGCAAGGTCTCTGGTGCTGGTCACCTGGCGACAACTCCCAAACCCGTGGGTGGGCACCGGTAGTAAGGATGCCGTCAGGCTGAAGGAGTCCTATCGAAGCCAGATGGTTCTCGGGACTCCTGAGTCAGCTTCCAGTACCGGCCGGGCCCAAGCGTGCCGCAGCCCGGGCCGTTGCAACCGCACAAACCCAGGAAACGGGAAAGATTTACGAAGAGATCTAAGGCGCATGACTATCGGTCGGACCTCGAAAAGATTCTGCAAACCGTCTGGCCCTCAGGAGGGTGAAGCAACAATGATTACGAGTGGAGGGGTGCGACCATGACCTCGAGATAATGTTGGGCGGGGGAAGGAATAATTTTCCACTCCACAAGTTTCTGCATGTGTAGGACTGTCTTGCCAATGGGAGTGGCAGACCCGGGGTGGTAGTCCCCTCTCATTACAAAGGGGACCGTAGGGTGTATTCCCAATTATTCGGGGATCACACTCCACAGCCTCCCGGTTAAGGTCTACTCCAAGGTACCTGGGTATGAAAACCAAAACCCGTTCAAAGACTGGTAAATTTGTTTGTGCTTTGCTAAAGCGTCCGTTTAAAAAAAAACCAAATAGATGGTCAAGTCATGTTATGAAGGCACCACATCTCCTTCTCAAGTGAGACAAAGCACGTGTTGGCAAACAAACATCATGAACATGAAATTAACAGCGTTATGTTGAGGACTTTTGTAAGGGCTAGGAAGAAATGTTTTTATATAAGGCACTTAAAGTGGACATATCGTGTTTTCACATAATTGATCTTTTACATCTAAATCATTAATTTGTGGCCTAATCTGCAATGCCTGGGTCTGAGTCCTCCTTATTTGTAGCTCCACGTGCCTTTCTTCTACACCTGTTCTGAGGTTGCGTACAGAGAGCAACCTGTTTTGGTGCTGTCTCTTTACATGCAATAGGCGCTTTTTTAGACCACGCCCCCCAATCCAGGTTACACAGGTTCAACTCCACCCTGAAGCGGGGCCATTTTTTGTAGTTACTAACCACAGATACCATTTATCCTCATAAAACTTCTCATTACATCGCCAAACAATGAAGTAGTCCAACCTCATTGACTGAAAGCAAAAATTAAGTTTCAACTTAGATGTTCCCGTCTTATTATCGACTCTTCTCTATTTAGCTTTGGATCGAGCAAGCGCACAGTCTATGAAGCCTTCACAACACAACCGCCATTGTTTACAACAGCAGCCGCCTGTGCGGCCTACTGTACGGCCAGGATATGACACACTACGTTGACGAGAAATGTTTAAATTGCATATTATCTTATGCCGATTTTTACAGCATTTAAAACGTTAAGAACGTTTTTTTTTTCCTATCTATAGAAGGACAGCGACGCAATGCGCCTCCAGAGCCGCAGGTTGCCGACTCCTAGTTTAATACAGTGATGTGGAAGACAAATACTGTAGAGGGAACAGGAAAATGCAGTTTCAATCAACAATAAAATAATATGCCATAGTCTACATTACAAGAGAGTAACTAAACATGTGTCAAGTGAGGGAGGTGGGACACGGACAATACTATTGTTTGTTACAGGGATGAGAAATGGGTCAAAAAAGACTGAAATGCATCATTTCAGCCATTTTCCCTGGCTCCTAAATCTGTTTAATCTGTTACACCAACATATTACATTTTTGGGCTCAAAAACAAAACTTTTAATGCAAAGCAAACATGAAGTAATCCAGAGCTTTATTTAGAAGGGCTTTTAATCGCGCTTCGAAGATGAAGATGGAGACCGCGACCTGTTTCCTGCAGCAGTGTATTTATTGGTGCACAGATTACTCAAAAGACCACGCATGTCCTGTGCGCGTATTAATGGTGTTAGGGTTACATGGCCACGTTGAGGCTGGCGCGCTCAGCCACAACCACAAACCCTGTGGATGCTGCTGCGAGCGTCTCCCCTCATTACAAAGCGGCCGCCGTTGTTTCCGGGAGCATCTGCGGCGCTTTGTATGAGGAGCCGCTCGCAGCCGCTCCAAACCGTGTTGTGGTTGTGGCTGAGCCGCAGCCTCAACGAGCCATGTACCCAACACCATAAACGCGCACAGGACCATGCGTGTCTTTGAGTAAATCTGTGCACCCAATAAAAAAACACTGCTGCGAAACAGTCCGCGACTCCCTCTCCTCTCGAACGCGATTAAACCCCTAAAAAAAGCCAGATAACTACATTAGTGCATTGCATTAGAAAGTTCATGTTTGAGCCCAAAAGTAATATGATGTGAACAGATTAAACAGATTTAGAGCCAAAAATGGCTGACAATATGCATTTTTCAGTCCTTTTTTGACCAATTCTCATCCCTGTAACAAACAATAGTATTGTCCGTGTAACCTCCCACACTCTGACACGATGTTTATTACTCTCTGTAATGGTAGACTATTGCATTTTATTTATTGTTGAAACTGCACATATCCTGATCCTTCTACCTTAATTTGCGTCCACAACTGTAAAAACTAAGGAGTCGGGCAACCGCCCTCATGGAGGCGCATGCGTCCTTTTCCTTCTATAGAAGGAAAAACGTTCTTAACGTTTTTAAAAGCTTTAAAATTGAGCAATAAGTAATATTCAATTTAACACATTTTCTGTCAACGTAGTGTGTCATATCCTGCACGTACAGAAGCCCGCACCAGGCGGCGGCCGTTGTAAACAAACGGCGTGTGAGCATACATAGACTGTGCTCATGTGATCCCAAAAGCTAAAAAAGAGAAGAGAACGATAATAAGACTGGCCTAAGAATGAAACTTAATATTTTGCTTTCAGACAATGAGGAGGACTACTTCATGATTCGATGTAATGAGAAGTTTCTATGAGATATTGATCTGTGCTTACGTAACTACAAAAATGCCGCTCAGGGTGGAGTTGAACCCTGTGGGGTCACCCTGATGGTGGCGTGGGTCAAAAGCGCCTCAATTTGCATTTAAAGAGACCAGCCAAAACAGGTTTGCTCTCCGACCACCACAGAACAGTGTAGAAGAAAGGCACCGTGGAGCTAACCAACTAATGAATCAGACCCAGGCATTGCATATCGGCCCACAAATTACATGATTTAGAATGTAAAAATCCATTATTTGAAAACACGATATTCCACTATTAGAGCCTCTAAACAAACATTTCCTTCCTAGCCCCCTAACCACAAGTCCTCAACATAAGCTTAAATTTCAAGATCACTGCTGATTGTTGCCACCAAGTGCTTTGTCTCACTTGAGAAGGAGATTTTGTGGCCCTCAAACATGACTTGAACCAACTATTTGTTTTTTTAAACAGACGCTTTTAAGCAAAGCACAAACATACAGTCCTTTGAAGGGTTGAATTTCATACCCCAGGTACCGTGGAGATAAGCCCTTACCGGGAGGCTGAGGAGTGTGATCCCCGGATATAGGACACACACCCACCGGTCCCCCCTTCTTGTTAGAGAGGGACTAACCACCCCGTCTGTACCACTCCAATGGCCAAGACAGTCCTACAACTTGCAGAAACTTGTGGAGTGGAAGTATTCCTTCTCCCCCGCCCAACAATTCTCGAGTCAAGGTCAGCACCCCACCACTCGTACACAATGTTTGCTTCCCCCTACCTGAAGGCGCCAGACGGTTTGCCAGAATCTTTTATCGAGGACCGACCGATAGTACCCATGCTCCAATAGACTCTTCGAAATCCTCCCAAGGCCCGGTTTTGCGTGTGTCAACAGCCCGGCTGCGGCACGCTTGGCCGGACCGGTAACTGGACACTGCCTCAGGAGTCCCGAAACCAACAGGCTCGATAGGACTCCTTCATCCTGACGCAATCCCTTACTAACCGTGCCCACCCACCGGGTTTGGGATTTGTCGCCAGGACCAGCACCAGAGACCTTGCACCAACGCTACGAGCCACCGCATCGGTGAAAAGTGGAAAACATGGACATGTCCACTCGGACTCGAATGTCCCCCCACCCTCCACCGGGACCTGAAGAAACACTCCCGGGGACCAATGTCCTAAATGGTTAATAAATGTTATTTTTTGATTGTCAAAAACCTAGAATTAAGAATATAGGACCAGCCAGAATGTATGTGAAATACCAATCACCTATAGATCCGCCTAACCACCTAACCACTACCTGAGACCCTCCTGTAACCATGCATTTCTGTATATGTACAAATGGGAGCCACATGTTTACTCCAATCTGTGCCCTTCTCTCAGTGACGTTGGAAAATACTGCTAGCAGCTCAAAAGCAATAAAATGTCCGCCAGTCGTCATTACCACATTATTATTGCTCAAATCCATTATCAGCCATCCTCCCCCCACCCTGGGCCTACTTGCCACCTGGCTGCTCCGA